ATACAATGATAACTAAATTAACAAAAAATAAATACTTTAAGGATCAAAAGTATTACTAACCCAATAGTGAATTAAATTTATATATATATACACATAAATACATATATAGGTCGGAAAAGAAACACTCAAAATGAGTAAAATCATTACAACATACATACATCTTGTACATAGCCATGTAAGAATTTGAAAGAAAAATTATCTACTACGATCAATATGGTATCAAAAATTGTCTTCCCAATCGTGGTCATAACCATATTTGGACTTGATCATCATTTCACTCACCAAAAATATTAAAAGTCAATTTGTAGAATGGACTTTATACAATGAACTTTTAAAAAATACCCAAGTGTTTGGTGCAAATGCGCTGTGAAAGTCTTTTTAAATTAGGAAGGGCACCTCCACATAACAGCATGTTCGGTGTCAAAGTATAAAATTACACTTAATTCGTAACATTGCCCTTCCTGTTAATATATATATATATGTTAGTCCTATGATGTAGTTTACACTTGTTACTTTTATGCACCATCTCAATGTAGATCGTTAGATTAATGGGTCTCATTGATTTTATTAAATTTTCGAATGCTATGATCATGTCACATTAGATGATGCAAGTTAGATTGTGTTCATATCATTTTTTATTTACTAGTTCACCATGAAAGGTATCTAACATAGTTTCAAACAAATCAGTACAAGCATAACAATTGATACAAGATTATTTAGAAAACTCGTAATCTGCAAAGGTTATGCAAAATGCAATAACAATGAAACACAGAAAGTGGAGTACTGGCGTGCGACACACCTCCACCATCTTCATTTCCGCACCTCTTCTGTAACTCTCAAGGCTCTTCACCACTCTCTCAAATCACATGGTGTTAGAGTTTCTCAAGAGACCAAAATCTCCTCCTCCTCCTCCTCTCTCCCCCCCCCCCCCCCCCCCCCTCTCTCCTTCTGTGCTTTCTCCAATATGAAAGTGCATGTTTATGACAATAGGTGATTATTGAATAATGGCAACGTAGAGAGAAGCGTATTGGAAATAAGAAGATCAAAGTTCTCAATAGGTGAAAGCATGGATCTAGTGACCAAAGATCTTCTTGAAGCAGGGCCGGCCCACCACTATTAAAAAAAAATCATGAGTTTTAGACCTAAATTTTTAAAAGGCCTTATAATTTTAGATACATAACTAATCTACATAAAAAATTTAAATCCATAAAAACTTTAGGTCTTACAAAAATGCCCCAAAAAATTAAAGCCCAATCAAAAAATTTAATTTCAATAATTTGGCCATATAATTCAATTCATAACATTAGAAATTCAAAAATCAAAAATTTAAAAAAAAAATGCAAAACTCAATTTATATTTACTCACATCTATTCTCTCTCTCTTAAAAAAAAAAGCATCACATCCTCCTCTCTCACTTAAAAAAAATTAAAAAATATATATTTTTTTTAAATAATACTAAAAATAAAAAAAACCTAATTTAATATTACCGCTTTAGGCCTCAGATTACCTTGAGCCACCCCTATCATGAAGCCAAAGTATATACTCACTTTTTACGCTAAAATGTTCATCAAGTTTTATATTTATATTAGCGATATCATGTGACTTAAGTCACTATACATTGAATTATAACACTGTGCATGCATTGAAATGTGTGTGTTGGAATTTATGTATGTATGTGTAGTTGTGTGTTGTTGAGTATGTATATTGAGTTTTTAAAATTTGGGGGGAAAGTTTGTGTTGGGTATGTAAAATTTTGAGGGAAAAATATATCTCCATAAGTTTAAACACCTATCTAATCTATTATATAGATGCCTAACTCTGGGTATCAATGTGAAAATTAGTTTTTATGTAGGGTTAAAATTGATATTATCATATAAAGATTAAGGATAACATTGGAATTTAATTAAATCAATTAAATGGCAGTGGACAACTTCGTGAGAAGTGAAAAGGACCGGTTTTGAGAAGTCACATTTTCTAGCTTTTAGAAATGGAAATTCCAATAATGCACTTTCGGGTCAGGAAGCGGGGAGTGTGAATCCGCCAAACAGTTCACATCACACGTCAGACGAATGCACTTCTCGTCTTAAAAGCCCATTTAGGACGCCCATCAAACACACGCCAAGACTCTATCAAAGCCCATTTTATTGTGGGACACCAAAGTCCACGCAAAATTGCACTATTCAATAGCCTATCACAATATTGATTTGCTTAGCATATCAATCGTGAAAATTGGTGATCATAGACATTATCACGAATATAAAGATGGGTCAAGGCTCAATGGCGTTGGCATGATTCTAATGTCAATTGAGACATGACCATTATAGTCCTTAGTGCAGTGAAGGAGTATTTTTGATGCAACTTTTTAAATGTAAATAGTCACTATCTAAATATTTTAAGGTATTATGGAATGACTAAGGCTGTCAAAATTCGACACTACACGATTAACCGACACGAATTAAACAGATTTGAGTGAGATCTTAACGGATTTGGGTGATAAACCGGTTGACACGCCAAACACGTTTAATAAACAGGTTGTGTTCGGGTGAGATATGTCAAACCGTTTATCACATGTTTACCCGTTTAAATAAAATTAATATAATAAAAAATTAATAATTATTTTTAAAAATTAGTTAAAAAAAAAAGAAGTAAAAAATTAATAAAAAAAAAGAAATAAAGTAGTAGTTCAAAGACAAAAGAGAAGAGTTGAAGAGCACTTCAAAGACAAAGGCAAACTAATGTCTTTTATTTTTGTCCCACGTTGAAAAATGAGAGGAGATGGAGAGGGTAGGTTGCCTATAAAAGACAATAGTCAATTGTTTTTTTTTTAAAAGCCTTCAAGTCTTATTTTTATGATATTTGATTTAAATTCCTCTTTTTTGAGGTAAGTGCAATTAGTAGTAAAAAAAAATAGAGTATTAAAATTTGTTGATATAATTTTTTTTAAATTAAACGGGTTAAACGAGTCATGTCGTGTTCATGTTGAAATTTTTTACCTGTTTATTAAACGTGTCGTGTATGAATTTATACGTTTTTTACCAGTCACCCGTTTAACTCGACACGTAACCGTTTAACCCAACACGATTGACACTCTTAGGAATGACTATGTTATTTTTGATAAATGTGAAGGGCTATTAATGATTTTTACTCAAAATTGAATGAGAAAGAGTACCAATATTTAGGTGAACCCCTAGCTAGCTACCTATGCTTGCCTACAACCCTTGTATCCCCTTCCTCCCACGGCATGACCCCCACGTGATGTGCCGTTCCTCGCATCTTCATAACTATTATCATCAAATAGTGCTTATCCCAACATTGCACTTTGTAATCAACTCTAGTAATCTTATTTAAGCAAGTATGTAACACAAGTTGAGGCGCTATAGGCTCACACCCATCAAACACAAACCTTTTATAGAGCAAAATTAAGAGTAGGCATTCTAAGTCATACAAAAACTTGCCATTGTATTCGAGATGGGCACAAACAAGATTTTATCCAAATGCAGCACATGAATTCATCGATAACATCATCCCAATTAGCCATGAATTGTGGTGGTTCGTGATGTCTTGGGTGATTTATGGGGTGCGATGGATGTGCACCAGTAAGGGGTGGTTCTGTGGCAGTTCGTAGAGAATTAGGGAGAATGAGTTGAAAAAAACATATCTACACATTTATGTGTGCGCGTGGGCGGGGGGCTAGGATGAGTGCGAAGCTATAAAGTATGGATACGGTTATGGGATACGGATACGATACGATACGTGTACGACGATACGATAAAGTCTAAAAAAAGTATACGGGTACGATTAAGATACGACTATAATAAAATATATTTAATATTTTTTATTATTTTCAACCAGCTTAATACTTATGTATTTTGGTAGTTCTTTAATATACAATAAAAAAAATTAGTATTTTTTTTTAGTTTCAAAAAAATATATATCATATCGTTGTAGTATATTTACAAAGTGAAATGACTAATTAAAAGAATAAAAACTAATATTTACCTAGTATTTAGATGTAATTTTTGCTAAAATAAAAATGTAATAACTTTATTTTATACTCTTTTGACATGTAATTGTAGATAATACTTAAGAAACACTCATATGTCTTTGGAATAATATAAATTTTTTGTTAATGTATTGTATGATATATGAATTCGAAAAGAGATGTTAAAAGTTTAACTCAAAAATTATACATGTTGTTCGATCACAAAAGTATTTTGTGAAGTACCATAATATTTAATTATTATTGAATATATATAAAGTGTATCTGATATGTGTCTTCGAATATCGTATCCGATACGATATCGAATACATGTACGTCAACCTTAACGAAATATTCGTGCTTCGTAAGGGCGATGGATAGGGATGAAGTTTTTGGAGAAGAGGGTTTGCTTTCAACTAGGGTGGACAAATCAAATGGAACAATGCTCTGCACACCACTTTTGAACACTACTTAATGTGATACCATACTAACCATCGAATATTTGATAATATTTTGTGTGACTTACTAATTTAATGATGTTTATTAAGATAGTGCACAAAGATGGTGCCAAAGTGGTGTGAATAGTATTGTTGAATAAGTGTTAAATATGATAGGAAATAAAAAGTAAAACCTTAATATTATTAAATATTATTAAATATTAAGTTTTAGATTTGGTGGTCTTTTTGTCATTTGCCTAATGTCAAGGGTCTTATAATATATATATATATGTTGTCTTAGACAATTTCTTTCGCTCCGAGTTGTTATTAAGTTCAATAGAGAAGGCTACGCGACGCGTACGATGCACCGAGCGAGGCAAAGAAGAAGCCAGGCGCAAGAAACGCAATAGATGGCGCACATTAGCTGAGAGAAAACTTTTGCCGCGATCGCAGAGAATTTCTCGATCATCAGATCCTGTACTCTCTCTCTTCCCCGACCGTAGCATCGTCGAGAAAGAGAGTCGATTGCTTTAGAAAGAGAACGTAAAGAGAGAGAGGAGAGAGGAGAGAGGAGAGAGAGAGAGATGTGGGTGTTCTATCTGATATCGCTGCCTCTAACACTGGGCATGGTGATATTTACTCTGAAATACTTCGCCGGTCCATACGTACCTCGATATGTATACTTCACCGTAGGATACACATGGTTCTGCTCTATCTCCGTCATCATCCTCGTCCCTGCTGACATTTGGACGGTACTTTCCCAATTCCTCAGTTTTCCTTTCACTTGCTTTTGTTTCCTGAGTTTTTTGTCACTGCATGGGAACTATGAATCGTAGTTGAGTTTATTTGGTTTAAGTTTATATCGTTTTGAAATATATTTGGTGTTAATTAGGGCTTTGTTCTTAGTTAAATTGATAATTATTGTTGCATTGGGCTAATTTGTTTACTGGGGCGTAATTAATTTGACCTGCCTTGTTAATTACATAATATTAGCGTATTTTTGCAAGAAGCTTGCGTTAACTCTACTTTTCCGCGTACTTTTTTCTAATATTTGCTAAGTTGATCAAAAGGAAAAGGAGTTTGAAAGAATTTGGGGTTTTGAAAAAGGATGGTCAGGAGGAGAGTTGAGTTATTCAACTTGGTTTTGTTGTATGCATTCTATGCTTGAAACTTTGAGCTGTAGTTGAGTGTATTAAATGCTGTCTGGGCAAGATTAGTGAAATTCTACTAATACTTGGACTTAGGTGGCATCAACTTGGGTGTTGGAATCAACCACAAGTGAAGAAATGGGGAACGTGTGTTGGAATGAAAGTCAATTGCTTGAAGGCCAGATATATCAGTGGTGTGGTGCATATATGATATGTGGGTCCTGTAGTAAAGAGTTTGGGAGAATTTTTTTGAGAATAAAGATATTAAATTTCGTTGATCTTCCTTATTTCTTTCTTCTTTTGGGTTGTTTCAACTACCCTATAGCTTGTGGAATATGAGCCTTAGTTGCAGGAATTTGGTAATCTCCTGTACATGTTGCATTGAGTTTTAACTATGGGCTAACTCAGATGTTAATATTGAGATGGACGGATTGCACGGGAACTATTAATGATAAAGAAAAGCTTGCTTGACCTTGGTAAGCAGGAAAAATTGAAGGTTTGAAAATAAAGGTGGAGTTCTATGATTAAATGGTTAGGATCTGGGGAAACAGCAGTATCCAAAACAAATATGAAGAGTAAAGATTCATGAAAAAATGAAGAACAAAGAGAGGAATGAAAATGAGAAGATCCCTTTAGAATATAACATACTTGGTTGAAGATCATTCCATGCCATTGTCCTACAAAACTTGCGTTTACCATTTATGAAACATGATCATTATAAATGAAACTTGAGAGACAGACGCTTTCTGCAAAATGTGTTTCTTGGATTTGCTTGGCTTTATCTTTTGGTGTTCATTTTCACTTGGTTTTACTTCATGCTAGTTTGTGTGTCTCTCCTTTGGATTCTTATCTTTCTTTGGACAATAAAGTTAACACATTAACCAAACATGTGTGAAAAAAATGAACAAACTCCACCATCAGATCTCTTTAACTGCATTTTAGCCACATTCCAACAATTCTGGAAGCTAGGAAGCACGGATACTTCCACAAGGGAGCCGTGTTAGTGTCGGACACGGATACGGTCTCAGACACATGTCCGACATGGCTAGAAATGTCTTGAATAGTGAACTTAGTCGGACATGCCTAGGACACGAACATAAATTTTTCTTTTAAAAAAAAATAACTTTTAACTATTAAAAAGATTGTGATTTTTACTTTTTTAAATATATTTTTTGTTATGTAACTTATATATTATGAATGTTAATGGATGTCATGATGTTTGATGAAAATAGTAGATATTTAGTTTGATCTATTTCAATTTTAATCCAAAAAAAATAATATTTGTTAGATCTTATTATTAATATTGTTATAATATATCTTTTATTTTGAATATATAACAACACTATTATTATTTAAAAAATATATTATATTATTTTTATAGCCGCATCCTTACTGTACCTGTGTTCTATCTTTTTAAACTTTGTCGAATTCCTGTATCCGTATCGTATCAGATACGACACCAGTGCCCATATCCGTGCGTCCTAGTCTGGAAGTTAGGCACCTTTTGATTCTTATCTTTCTCGCCTTCAGGGTGCAAATGTTTCCTGTTTTCTAACGTTCATGATTTCTTTATTGTTATGCAGACGATAATTGGTCATGACAATGGAGGAATCTCTTTCTTTTGGAGCTGGTCGTATTGGAGTACATTTTTGCTTACTTGGTATGCGTTGTGTAAAATTGTGGGCCCAGGCCTCTATTTCCTTTTCTGTTCTGTATTATACCCCAATTGACCAAAGTTGGTTAGGGTTTACTTGAAGATTGCTAGTATTTAATTCTCTGGGAGGTTTGTTTGTTGTGTTGTGGAACATTAACTACCCTTCGTCGAGGTTATCAACAGATGTATGCTGAGTATCAAACGTGTATATAGGGATTTATTGTAGGTGAATACTTATACTTGTACTTATGCTGCCCCTCTCCCTAACTAACTGGGTATAGGTTAGTGGTGAGCAAATCCTTATGTAATTAAAGTGTGCTATTTCTTTGATCAGGCTAGTGGTGCCCCTTATTCAGGGCTATGAAGATGCTGGAGACTTCACAGTGATGGAAAGATTGAAGACTAGTGTACATGTAAACTTGGTCTTCTATTTAGCAGTGGGATCCGTCGGCCTTTTTGGGCTTATTCTCCTCATTACTATGCAAAAACCTAGGTTTGTTTCTCACCTCTGAACTTGTTCATCTTTGTTGTTTAATCAAATGTCTTCTTTTGTGGTTGTTGATGTCTGTAGACTTTCAGTCAGCTGTTAACTTATGTACTGTCCCATGAAAAGCTTCCTCACAGAAGAATCATTTATTGTCTCATTTCACCATCTGCTTGTGTGCTATTTTTTGGGGTCATCTCCTGCATATTAAATTTATTAGTTAGTTTTTAGCTATGTGATTAATTTTTGAAAACAATGTTTACATGTTGAGGGCTCAATAAACTGATTTTTTTTCCCGGATATTTGGGGCTGAGGGTTTGTGAACTATAGTAGAATTGAGGTGACACTGTGATGAAGATCGTGTAGGAATTGGATAGATTGATTATGATAGTTATTTAGATACTTTTAATATTTATCGTTTAAGTAATTTTTTTTAATTTTTAAGGGTTTAGTTGTCATTATAACTATTTATTTCTTTTAGAGTTCTTTTAGGATTTGTGCTCTCCCTATATATATAGGGAATACGGGATTTGTTTTGGTAGACTTTGATTATTGATATTGAATTTTCTTTCTAAAATTCTCTCTATTTTCATCTCCTTCTTTTCTCATCCCTTCTCATCTTTAATTCTTCCCTAATATGATCTACATCAATTTGGTATTAGAGCCTAACTTCGATTTGGAAAAAGGAAAAAAAAAAAAACGAAGTTACTGTTCATCGCACTGTTCACGCGTGCACTGTTAACCCAAAAAACTGTTCATTCAAAAACATTGTTCATCAGTGAAAAAAAAAAAAAATTTGTCTCAGCAGATTAAAAAATTACAGAAAAATCCTAGTTGTTCCAGAAATTACAGAAACACCCTAGAAAGTTGCAGAAGCTGCAGAACTACCCCCAGAAATTTCAAAAATTACAAAATCTTCCCCTAGAAGTTTCAAAAATTGCAGAATCATTCCTAAATGTTTCAGAATTTTTTCTTGATTATGGTATGCATACTCCTATGAAATTTGAGACTAATATTTTTATTCATTGAAAAATTAGAGAATTTGCAAAGGATTCAAAACATATTTTCTTCTATTTAAGTTTTCTCACTTCTCATAATTATTAATTACATTCTTGAACTCATTCTTATGTTATTCTCATCTTTTAAAGTCAATCATGAGTTCATATGATCATTATGATGCCTATTCATATACTTATCCAATATCAAGAATGTCTCAAGTTCATAGTTCTCCACAACGTCATCATTATACCTATTCCACTCTTAGAACTTCTCGGAGTCATCATAAAGTCTATAATAAGTTTGAGTTTTATTATGAAGATTATCTAGAATACTACTCAGGGACACTTTGGTCACATAACAGTTACCAACATCATGCTTCCTAAAGTCGTCATCAAGGTCAATCTGGATCAATTTTCAATGTTATTAGTGACCATTCAAAAGCCCAAATTGCCCTAGGAAAAAAGGTTGAGATATTTGAAATTGAAGTTGCTAATACTAAACATTCACTCGGTCAATTACGTGAAAAATGTAGAGGGGTAAAAAATCAATTATCTGAATTAACACGTCAACTTTTTCACTTGAATAAAATTTTTGCAAGTCAGCAAATGGAAGAAAATAATGATAGTCATATTTCTGTTCGGACACCCGCATAATGATAGTCATATTTCTGTTCCATTGGAGTCTCATGCTTTACATCCTTCAAAACATACTTTCAATCGTTTGAGCATTGATACTAGTGATGAGATTATTTTTGATCTTATCATGTTTCCTACCTCATCGGTGCCAAAAGTTGAATCACCACTAAGCATTGAACTTGAGGAAAAGTTCATTCAGTTAGTTCCTATGCAAGATATTGAGCATATTGAGCTATCTATTTTAAAATCTGTTGGCAATTATTCTATCTGTATTATTCCGAATCATGATGGCATTGTTGTGGATTTTTCTTCATTTGAGATTATTGATTTTGTTTCGGATTCTTCTCCACCTGAGATTGATGACATTGTTCTAGATTCTGCCCCACTTGAGATTGTTAACTTTGATTCTTTGCCTACTGTCAAGTGTTCAATTGAGTCTATACTTTCTTATTTTCAGCACCAAAGTGTTATAATCACTCCTTTATCATTGATGTCTTGTTCCGTTGAATGTCAGTTGTTCAAATCTAATGAGAATTATTTTGTTATTCTTGAGTTTGGATCTAATGCTTATTTGCTTAATTTTTTATTGAATGTTAGTATTAGTCCAGATTTTTATTTGGAGGACATACTACTTAATCGAGGTATTCCGGAGTTTCCTATTTTGTTATCAGGTGTTTCTACAAGTGGAATTGTTTCTTCCTCAGCATTCGCTCCAGCTCTTATCTTTCCACTTTCATCGCGTATTTCAGGGCAAATAGATGATGTGTTACGTGATCAGAATTACATTGCTACAGATGAAAATTCTTGCATTTATTTTGAGCGATGGAAAGATATTAATGGTTCTTTCATTCTAGATGAGACATTATGTCATCTTCATCTTCCACTCTTGGGGTACTTCTACTTTGAAGACTCTCCGGAGGAGAGTTTTTTTCAACCGGAGGAGAATGATGAAGATCGTGTAGGAATTGGATAGATTAATTATGGTAGTTATTTAGATACTTTTAATATTTATCATTTAAGTAATTTTTTTTAACTTTTAAGGATTTAGTTGTCATTATGACTATTTATTTCTTTTAGAGTTCTTTTAGGATTTGTGCTCTCCCTATGTATATAGGGAATATGGTATTTGTTTTGGTAAACTTTGATTATTGATTATTGATATTGAATCTTCTTTTTAAAATTCTCTCTATTCTCATCTCCTCCTTCTTCTTCTTTTCTCATCCCTTTCATCTTCCCTTCTCATCCCTAATTCTTCCCTAATACGATCTACATCACACTGCCTTCTTGTACTTGGACCAGGTGGCATGTTATTTGTTGGATTAGCTGGGTCTTCAGCTCTTCTTGCAGACTCTTATGAGGCCCATATGTTGAGCAAGATCAAGGTAGTTTTTTTCCCCCACTTTTTGGTTGTCATCGACTCTAAGGCTAGGAGGGCCCTGGCGCTATGCCCACTTTATGGATGAATTTTGGGATCTATGCAGGGCTTTAAACATGCATTTTAGTTGGTCCCTCCATCAACAAAAAGCTGATTTGTTGAGGGGAGAGAAGTAATCAACATTCTAAGGATGTAGTCGGTTTTCAAACTCTTAATAAGGCCACTTTGTACACTTGGATGGCGCCCTTGTTGAATTTGAAAATTCAATGTGAGGGATGTTCCCTTTGAAACTTTGGACAGTAGTGTATTGCAGATGTAGGAGTTGTGTCATGTTTCATTTGAAGGAGAATCAGTTGTCTGGTGGTTTGGTTGGCCTATTACAGCTTGTGGCATTTGGACCACACTTGCAAGAAAGATGATAGGATTTTTTTCTCTGACAGTGAAGAAGAAATAGTTGGATGGTTAGATCAGGAAATCAGAAGTCTTATATCGTCTCAGAAGTCATTTGGAGTCCATTCTATCCTCTCTGAGATTGATGATGATGGCTAGTCGAGGTTATCTCAGGAATTGAAGTCTTCTATGTACCTTTATTGTGTCTTATTCCTTAATATTCCCCTTGCTGATAGGACCGCTTACTTTGGAAGAGAGATTTAGGAGTCAGATGCCTCAGTGTTGTATACTTGTGTCCTGCTTTGTGCAATATTTTCTTTTGTTCATTTATTTTGCAATAATTTTAAGGAATCCTTTTATGTTTTGTATCCTCTCTTCCAATGAGCTTCTGTTTACCATAAGCCTTATAATGTTCCAAAAATATCATAATTGAGGACAAATACAGGAGCAAGTGGTCTATAGTAAAAGTGATTGCAGGATCCTGATCTTTGGTAGTGACACCTTAGGTGCAAGACACTGAACTTCAAAATATGGAGTTTCCCACAATCAGGATTTACATTATATTGTTGATTGTGATTGTTTGTTTATTTTTGACATTTCTAATTGTTTCAGTTTGGTGGTTGTTGCCAATTTTTTGTTGGATATTTAAATGTATATGGTGGTCCGAAATCATGGTTCCATATGGTGTTACAAAACTAGCAAGAATAATAATTTCTCACTAGGTATTCAATTATTTGCTTTCTTATTTATTTTGTCAATATCTTCAGTGACAGGAGTATATTGGGGTTTCCCATGGCTTGCTCGAATACTTTTGGACTTGTTACAGGTGCATTTCTTCTTGGTTTTGGTTTGAGCGAGATTCCGAAGAGCATTTGGAGAAATGCTGACTGGATCACTCGCCAAAAGGTTCTTTCTCATAAAATTGCCAAAATGGCTTTGAAACTTGATGACGCGCATCAAGAGCTATCAAATGCCATTGTTGTAAGTGCTTTCTGATGCCAATTTTGAAGTCATAATTTTGCAAATTGGTCTACAGAAGCCATATAATACTTTCAAATTTTTTTTTTTTGGTTGTTATCTTGTTCGGTTTCATTATGTTTTCCTAGTGGTGTTTGTTTTAATATCTAAATTTGGTTTGCTGTTTGCAATTTTTCGTAGTCTAGTTCATCCTGGACTTGCATTCCTTTTCTTCTGTTGACCAACTAGAATATTTATTGCTTTCAACTTTGCAACCAATCTAACTGCAGGTTTTGGTTATCCTTTTTTAATTTCTTCATTTTTGGTTGGTTTATAAGGGAAGAAGTTCATTTCATTCAAGCAACGAGTAAGAGCACGAGTACAAAAGATTAAAGGACGTAGAGATAGAATATAAAGACTATCGAACTCTAACAACCCTAGCAACTGGGAAAACAAGAATGAAAATAATCAGGCTGACCCCACAAAATGCTATACTATACTAAATAAACTCAGCTGGATACCATGAGGCAAAAGATCAGCAACCTATCTATCCTTCTTGCATGGAGATTATCACCAACCCGTTTTGAAACCTTTGTCCCTTTGTGGATATGTGAACCCATATTGAAACCTTTAGTGGTAACCAACTATCAGCCAGATTGAAAAGAACAGAGTAATCCTTTGTAGGCAATGGTCACAACGGTAACCAACTCGCCATTGATCTCCATGTCCTGATAGACTACATTTATCCTGCAAGAAAGAATCTTATACCTGGTGGAGTCACTAGCTCAGTATTGATTTGGTTCATTGTTTTGAGAAATGGTGCATTCTGCAGCAATTTGGGAGTATTTATATAAATATGTATATATATATATATATATTTAACGGGTATAGCGGGGGCGGGGCAGGGGTAAGGGTAAGTCTATCCCCGCCTTCATTCCCGCACGGGTTTATACAAATATCCCCGTATACGTTTACTGTCCAATACGTATGGTCAATCCCCGGTCCAAACGGGACGGATTTGGACGAATACCCGTTTTCCCCTGGTCCATTGCCATCCCTACACGTTTTATGAAACCAAAAACTAAGTCCCCAATCCCCACTAGCAAAAGATGCCCTACTTAACCTAATCGAGTTGCAACTCATTCCTTATGCTTACACGGTTGGCTTATCCTAATATTGGAACCATTGGACTGTTCATATGATTAACGCTTACCCGTTACATATGGTCTGTTCAATGTGGACTTTTAGCCTCTTGGACCCATTTTCAGCACCTTAGGCAGTAATGGGTCATGAATATACTGCGTCTTGATATCTGAGACATGAGACTTGTGCTTGTTGTAGGCCAAAGTAGACACAGATATGGAGCCATTAAAATACTACACATCTATCATCTCACGGAGTACACCCTGCAACTTATGAGTTCTTCTGATGAGTCTATGTATTGAAATGTTGTGAAATATTACCATGCACTGAAGCAGTTCGCAGAAATGGATGGAAAGCCCTTTCCATTAAGAGAACTGGGTTCCTGTTAGATACCACTTAACTGATGCCATCAATCGCTTCTTGTGACGTTGAGAAGTCATCCATACTAAACTCTGGTGACTTTGAGCTAATTGTGACACTATGATGAGGTTCTAATTTCCAACAACATTAATGAGGCCAAACTGTTCTCTTTATCGCCCCAAAGACAGTGTTGCAAATTCCTCCTCCCTCAAATGCTGATCATGGCATGGCTTCCATAAATTGGTTTCTATAAATGCAGAGATATTTAAAGGGCTTTCCCTATTCATAAACAAAAGGACATAATGCCCCTTTTAAAACATTTGAGATTCTTCTCTCAAATGTTTGTACTTGGTTTTTCAGAATTGCAACACACCTTTGGTGGTTTCATCTGTCATTCAGATTGGTACTTTCCATAATCTATTGTGATTAGTCCCTCTCGCCTTCCTTTCCATTGTAAGAAAACCTTTTCTGAATCGAGGGAAGGAGGTGAATCTCACAGCTCAAGGAGTTCAGCCCTGCTACACTTAAAGTATTTGGCTTGAGTGATGTGAAGCTCTTATGAGGTTTTCCCTTGTCTTCAATTAAGGCATCATTGATTGAAAAAAAAATAAATTTAGGCATCGTTTCTCATGGTTAGATTAATGTGTGCTTATCTATTGAATGACTTTGTGACACGGCACCTTGAGCTAGCTGGATCCCTAACTTAAGCAATGGTGAGATGAATTACCATATTGATTAGGATATACTGATGGATCAATATGAAGTATCTTGAATTTATTTTGGTTTGCATCTGTGCATTGCATTTAATTTTCTTTTTTTTTTCTCCTCCCTTTTGTGGATTTCAGTGAGACATTAGTCATATATCTGAATAGTTTGCCATATGCCTCGATATTATAGTTTTTTGGTAGAACAAGCATTTTGAATCTTATTGTGATGTGCCCCATTAAGAAGTACAAGAAAAAAAAATGCAATAGTTGTTTGGGGTGTGCAAAGACATTTGTGCAATTATGATCACAGAGAATGGAATGTTAGGGCATGCAAAATGTATCAGCATGTCAATCCAAAGTGACGCGGAACTCTGACATGCCAATGCATTTTCGACTCTTATGCAGTAGTGCACAATAAATAATGCTAAGGCTGGATGTTGTTTCACATGGGTTCCGACACTTGCCTAGGATTTCTGCCCTTCAGAAATTGTCATCATTTCTATTGTGTAACCTGGCTAATAATGGGAAAACGTATGGGATTTTAATGGACTTTCTAATATATTTCCCTTCTGGAGAGCAAATGCACTGTAGGTTATGCTGTTTAAAATTATTGGGTGAGAAACTGTCTGCTCATCTTGTTTGATTTTTAGTTTGTTTGAACAGTTCCAAACAGGGAATCTATTTGGTAGTTGCATCTGCAATAACCATAGCTATATGTCATCATCCTAAATCTCTTGTTGCTTATCTCCAAATTTTCTCATACTGGCAAACTTTAACAGGTTGCTCAGGCAACATCCAAACAGATATCCAAACGTGATCCTTTGAGACCCTACATGGATATTATTGATAATATGTTAGTGCAAATGGTATTTCTCCTCGTACATCTTACAAACTGAATTATTTTTAACAAGGTTTAGGTAGTTCACACATTTTAAAATGTTTTTTTTTTTCTGTTCCCCAGTTCAAAGAAGACCCGTCATTCAAACCCCGAGGAGGCCAATTAGGGGAAAATGATATGGACTATGATACAGATGAGAAATCGATGGCAACACTTAGGTGCAATCTTAGGGGAGCTCGGGAGGAGTATTGTCGCTACAAAAGGTAAATTCAATAATGAAGTAAACTATTGGTAGTTTCATCAATGAAGAACAATCTTTTAAAATTTTAGTACTACGGCTCCATTGCCTGCTCTTTGTGGTCCATTGATTATACGTTTTCATTTTATTTTTGCTTGGTAATCTGTATTCTTCATCAGGCTTCACTATTTCCCTCTTTGATTAGTAAAAGCAGATCCATGAAGGGTGGGGTGCAAATGTTCCAAACTTTTTGTATTGAAGTTATAATGTCATTTTTAAATTGGAAAGTTTAGAATCTGATCCACTGGAAATTCATCCTCTTCCTTTCTCTCCTTATAAGCCATATTAGGCACATGGGGTTGTCCTCCAGTCTTCCCTGCCCTCCTGCTCCTGCCACCCGAGTAATAGAATTCAAAGTTCTAACCATGCACAGCTTAATCTATGGGACTGCTAATACCATCAAAAGAAGTCTCACTGCTCTTTTTTTTTTTTCATGTTAAATATTTTTATCAAATACATAACATGTTAATCATATGGTGGGGCTTTTAATGTTTGCGGTTATACCTTGTTCAAATAAATCTTTAGTTGTAAAACTTGGCATTTTTGAATTGTTGTTGTGGCTAAGTGTGGCTTTGCATCACCATTTTACTTTGGCTTACAGCTCTAAGGATGTTGGCTACTATTTTGGAGCTGACATATAACTTCCATTTTGCTTTAGTGCCCCGTGTTGGACATTCTAATTTGTTTTTTTATTAAGTAGTTCAATTCAATTTGGAATTAGGCTTCATTGCGTTTTTTGGGGTAGGATGCTCTCTATATCTGAGTTTAAAGGTGGGTTGATGGTAAAACATGTCTTGTCAAGTTTGCTTTAGTATTTGTGACGCAGAAACATGGTTTGAATCTGCTGTCTCAGTTTGTCCAGGGTGGAAATTCTCAAATTCCTGGCTTCTCATCAACTGCAAAAGGAAGGAGATTGTAATAAGAGCACTGTTGGTATATATAGGCCTGATCTAAGGGTTTGTCCCTACCCAAGAGT